AGGGAGAAATCAGGAAGAAGTGCTGGAAGTGGATAGGACACACATTGAGGAAAGCACCCAACTGCGTCACTAGACAAGCCCTCACATGGAATCCTCAAGGCCAAGGGAGAAGAGGAAGACCGAAGAACACATAATGCCGGGAAATGGAAATAGACATGAGAAAAATGAACAAGAATTGGATAGGATTAGAAAAGAAGGTCCAGGAGAGATTGGGATGGAGAATGCTGGTCGTCGGCCTATGCTCCATTAGGAGTAACAGGCGTAAGTAAGTAAGTAGTCAAGTGTATTAAGTTAAGACATCCTAAGTTTTATCTAGATCAAATAAATTTCCAGTTGTATATTCACTGACTAAAGAAGACAATATGACTTGTACATGTAATAAGTATAATACACTGTTTAAAAGATATTTGGTACTCAAGGTACTTGAAGTACTAATGAAATATAATTTCTGAAAAATAAAACACAAGGCTGTTAAATGAACATGGTTGTTTCACTTAATTTTCCCTATATGTAGACTAAAATTCGTTGCACAATAAAAATATGAATTCATTCATTGTGGATAGCAGTGGAATCTACTATGAGAATCTTATCCCAATTGTGACTTACCAGCTAGATGTTTGTACATCCCAGGGTTGGTGTTTATATCAAGACTCAGACACAGTATATTTTACCTCAAAAGATCAAAAAGTTATCCACTGAGATACTGAGTCTAGACTGTCACTATTGTGTATATTGTTTAGGTTTTCAATGATCCCGTCGATATCCGATCCTATAAAAATTGCGACAAACTGGCTATATCGAGACAATCTACATAGGGTTCACATATAACATCAACGACTAATCAGAATTCAGTGAAGAATATAAACAACGAGATAATTCAGAACGTGTCTAAATTTTCATACGGTTATCTAATTATAAGTGAAACATATACTTTTAGAATAGGGATTTGTGTAGATTGTAGTAATTATGATAGTCGAATTCATGAGTCGATCCAAACTAGATTACAATTGAAAACCTGGAAGCACTGGATGGCTGTTATGTCTTAATATGGAAATCCTCACCTGTGCACATCTACAATCTCGCACGCGGGACTCGAACACAGGGCTTTCGATCTCGCGCACGAGCGTCTAACCTCTAGACCATTGAGCCGGCATCCAATGGTGTTAATGTCTAACTTCGATCGAGTCATCAACTCTTCATCGATTGTTTGCAATGGTGGTCTAGTTTAGATCGAATCATGAATTCAACTGTTAAAATATATAAATATTCCAGAAGGAAACACTGAGAAGAATGTAGGAACAGAATCTTTAGAAGTAGAAAAGTAATGTCATCAGTTATATGATTGAAGATAATATTTGTCTTTTTTCTTAACTAATAATACTATTGTTATTAGGTTGTAAGCAGTTGAGATGAATCCATAAAACAAATAAATTCATACTTATTATAATCGATTAAGCACACACATCAACTCTATAATACAACTTACACAATGTTCATCAATTTCGATCAATAAGCTTACATCACAAACATATACCATCCTTATCAACTGTATCAAATCAACAAAACAGCAAGCAAAGAAAGTTTTTATTGATCAGGAAACACACTTTTCACATAAATAAAACAACACATTGAAAACTATAAGCAAATATGGATAGTGGATAGCAATGGAATCCAGGACGCGAGTTTCATTCTATTTTGGACTCATCAATTGGATATACCTGTATCCTAGATTTGATATTTACTCCAGGACTCGAACTTAATACCACTCGCTTCAAACACTATCTTATTATCCACTTAGCTACTAAGTCTCAGGGTGAACATCAACCACTTGAAATATTTATTTCTTGTCTAATCATTTTCATATATAACTAATAGAAATCAATAAAAATTCTAGAAAACTATCTTATCTTAGTGAACTATTTCTTATTTCATTCATAAAATATACTACTAATCATTAGCAATAAAGTATTATTCATAAAAATTTATCAATGATTGTTCTAGTTGTTTTGTTGTTGTTGTTTGGTTGGTTGGTTACAAAATGCAAAACAAATATGCTAACAATCTATATATATAAATTGTATATATATACTTTTTTTCTCTTAGAAACCAATCGATACAATCAATAGTTTCAAATCATTTAAATGTATCATTATTATTATTATTATTATTATTATTATTATTATTATTATTATTATTATTATTATTATTAATACAAGAAGATATGTATGTAGTTTGCAGTTGTTAAGTCATTTGAATCAATAAATCAATTTATATTGGTTGATTGATTATTTTGGTTTTTTTTTATAAATGAATCAATGTGTACATTGATACATAATATTTTGAAAAATAAAAAAAAATTTTTTGTTTTTAAATCAAAATATCCAACAACAAAAAATTTGTTTGAATGAATTCACTAAGACTATTTATACATTTTTCAATGTTCAATATATATGTGAAGCAGTTTTTTGATCATTTTTTTTTGTTTGTTTGGTTAGTTTATTTAAGAAATCAGTTTTGTCAATAAGCAATTTACATGCAAGACTGATAAGTTTTGAGTTTGAATCTTGTGAGGTGAGGTTCTGGATGAGCACTGTTGAAGAGTTTTATGTGATAGGACGAAATGATAGTGTAGTACTTCTAGGGTTTCCATAGTAGTTTAGCTTCAATTGACTCATGATCTCAATTATTGAAATTATCAATAATATTCAGAGAAAAAATCCCTTTTGAAACATAATTTCCATTGAGAATTTCATTCAAAGTTTTAAATTCTATTTTATTTACTTTTTAACGTCTGAAGAGTTGAGATGTACTATAAATACGTGTTTACAGATAACATGTATAGATAACTTGGAATAAATAAAATAAAAAATCTTCAATGAAAATCATGCTCTTATATTCAACATTGGTAAACTAAAGGTGTTGTATCCCGATCAGAATAATGAATGGTAATTTTTGAGATCCATTTATGGACCAATATTATGAGTATATTTTTATCGTATAATCGTTATGTAACTGTTCATATTCATGCCCCTCTTATTATGAGCTTTATTTTGACTCATAAGCTATTATTATACGATTTGGCATTCATGAATTATTCACTGTCTGTTAATCGCTACGTCCCTCAGTCACAGCCACATCTGGCTAATTCTTGTACAAATGTTGTTTCATATTTTATTGATACGTTGTGGTCGGTTTGTTTGGTATGTAAACTCAGTATGCTTGAAATATAATGATTCATATTGCAGAGGCTAAGACTTGTGTTCTGGACTCAACTGACTGGGCTAGACAGGGAAGCAGGGCCAATCGGGACTCTAGATCGTTCTTACGTGTTTTACGCGTCTTTAGTCCGATCGATAATTCGCTGCCGTCTAATCTGCAGTCACGGTTATAACAAAAGGAATGGAAAACTATTCGAAATTATCAGATATTGAACAGATATTTTATTAAATATTTCAAAAAGGATCATTGATCTTACTTGATGAATGTATTATAAATTATGCAATCAATAACCGTCACTGTTCCATCATGATCATTAACTTATGTATAGTATACTTATAAGTAGACGTTTTTTCTTTCAAATAAATCCTACTCGATTAACTTCGACTATACATTACACCTATACCCAATTCATTTTCTGTATACATAGTTTTTTCATTATATATAATACAGAAATGTACTAATTATCTAAAGTAGACTATAAAGATAACAAATACTGAGAAAATTTAATTGAGGATCAAAGTTTAAACAAGAAATTAAAAATTGGTACTTTAACTCAATACTATTTATCACATTTTGACTTGTGTGAACTTTCATCCTTTCAGTCTCTTAACTGATTAATAAGATTTACACAAAAAATAATATTCAGTCTTTTAATATATATGAATACAAAATGGTTGTATCATGTAACTGGCATTGTGACGTAGCGTGGTGTCGAGTCGAGGTTGACTATGAGCACCACTACAGGGAAACGCTTACCAAAGAAATCGGAAGGCGAAGGTTGAACGTAACCAGATTTATTCGTTGGCGATCTCGTGGTATCGAACGAATACCGAGATCGTGCCAAAAGAAGCACAAGTAGAATCAGCGGGCGAGAGTACGAACGTACGAGGTCACAATCCGCGAAAAAGTAATGGAGAGTAATGGGGGAGGAATATGGCTGTCTTTAGCACAGTTAAACAAACGAGCACAGTAAAACAATCACTGGTACAATTGGTTATAATAAGTGTTTCAATTAAATCAATCGCATTCTCTTGGTAAAGGTAGGTCACTACAGTGAGCATCAGCGAAATTGCAATTGTAATAACCATTTCAATGGATTTATTTTATTAAGAGAATGAATGAGAATAAAGAATAAACACAATATGAAACGACATGAAATACATGATTTAATAAAAGATTAAATATGACCACAATCGCCTCAGTTAGATCAATTCTGTGTGATGTCATCCAATCATCGATCACCATCACCTTTTGAAAACTGAGTAGCACTGGAAAGCTATTTCGACTATGTATGGAAATCCTCACCAGTGCGTATTCACGATTTCACGGGGGACCGAATTTCGGACTTTCAGCAAGTCCCTGACTTTTAAACCTATTGAGTCGATATCGAATGGTTTACAAGTCTAATTTCAACCGATTTGTGATATTCTACTACTAAATCCAGATGTCACCGATGAGTAATTGCCTCACATTCAGCATGTGTGAACTAGACAGCTTTTGGTTTATCACTAGAACATCAGGAATCATCTTCAAAAATCAGACACTAGCAGAGTTTGTGGAGATTCTTGAATTGTATAATTTACTTTCCAATAATTGAGAAACAAGAGTCGTCGTCTAGGTTGAATTCATCATAAAAACTATGAAATTCAATAGTTTTCATTAATCCTCTTTACATTAGTATATTCATTTAGTTATTTAGGGGTCATGTCTTATTTTTAAAACTCTCTGCATATTTTACATTACATAATCTCATATTATTTCCCCTTTTTTACATTTGTTAGTGCGCAACAAGTCCATGTCATCGACGTGAAGAAGATAATAAACTAGCTGTGGAAGAATTCAAACGTGATTTAAGTCGACGTAATATATTTCGATGTTACGCTACACCAACACCATCCCATACAACATTAATTACAACAACAACACTAACAAATAATCCACAATTTTCGAATAATATTTTAACTAATGATCAACAATCTTTCACTAATACCATTTCGTCCTCCTCATCACCATCATTATCTGTTCCTTCGATTTCTCAATCTTCTACTACATTGAATCATTCTATGCTAATGTCAATGAATAATAAATCACCACCTAATAGATATCATCTACCTCTTATTCAACAATTAGATTCTAATCATGCTGCAGCTATACTACATCGTTTATATACATCATCAATGTTTATGCATGGTCTTCTATGGCCTGGTGGTATATTTCTAACTGCTTTAATCATTTTATTATTTACATATTTTACTGATTCATGTGAAGCATGGGCTGGAGATAAAACTGTTATTGCTTAAACAGGAAAAATTTATTATTTATTTCCTTTAATGGATTAAATTCAAAGTGAAACAATAATACATAGTGATTCATCTTAAAACTTTTCTAATTTCAATGATTATCATTATTTAATTGATTTGCTATGGATCATCATATTCTATTTAGATTCACTTTTGTTTTTGGTTATTCAAATATTGATATGTATGTGTGTAGATACGTGTGTGTGTAATTTAGATTGTGTATTTATATGTTTGTTGTATGCATAACGTGCAGTTTGCGTGTGCGTGTGTACGTGTGCGTGTGCGTACGTGTATGCACCTGGAAACATGAAGTAATAAATAGAATCTATAAGGGAATTTGTTCATTGTTTATTCTTTCATTTTATTGATGTTAATCCAATCCTCAGTAATGTATAATTAATAAATTCCTTGAAATTTGTATTATTAATTCATGAAATTAAACATGTATTCATCTTAATGTGAATATTTAAAGAGTGTAGAGTGAATAAATTACTTGTTATTTCCAGGAGTAGTTGTAGTGCTCATAGTAATCACATAAATATGTAGTTTCATTCAATTGAAATTTATACTGATGACAACGGATGTATAAATTTTTATGTTAATTAGACATAAGCAACATAAAATTCGTGGAATAAAAAAGGTATAAGCAAATCTTACAGTCGATAAGGAATGAATGTATGATTGTGACTAGTTTTGAGCTGTATAACTCGTTGTCTCCAATCACTGATTACAATAATCACTAGGGCCTCTAAAAGGTAGTTTTTAACCACTAACCAAGATTAATCCAATAGTTAATGGTTTCATGGATTGCTACGACGTCTTGGTTTGACTGCTGTACGTTTTCAGTCACACACTCCTACACTATAAATTATCGTGCGTTGGGCGAGAGGTGATTGTTCAGCACACATTACATAAATCTTAACCACTTGAATTGATGAAGATCTTTTACCTCATCAACCGATTTCTCATCTTTACTTAATGCCATGAGTCTAACCTTATTCCATTATCTCAGCATACTTGAGTAAGGCTTTTAAGGCATCTATGATCAAATATTATTCACTGATGAACATCATTTATTTTTAAAAGTCACATTACACAGTCATAGATCAAAACAGTAGAAATGTTTGTTCAGTATACTTCTCTTTTGGTAGGTGAACAGACACCTTGCCTAAGCCACAGATGACGTTGGTTAGAGTCAATACAGGTTTCGAATCCACGACGGAACATTATCATCGAACACCAACCTACCTGGGAAAATGAGACTTCCAAGATAGGTAAGGTGAACGATGCATCTAACTGATTCACTCCGTATCATAAGTTATAGCGTTTATGTAGAACAATCCTGAAGCAACACTTTACACTTAGGGGACGTGATACCCATTCGAAAATGTGTTTTCATTGTTATTTAAAGTGATCAAAGAACTCCATAACTAGCCAATCAACTAAATTAACTTATCATTTGGTCTAATTCAAATTTTATCTTCATACACTAAAAATGGGAATTTATCGCTAGATCTAGTACCTTTATATCAATTTTGTACATAATAGATTCACTTCTTCAAACTCTTTCATTTTCGCCATTCCAAATTACAGATCGTTTAATCTGAAAATCTATCTCTCTGTGTCACCTTGTTCGAGTGAATTCACTCCGTATCTGCTCATAATGCAGTAACTGTATATTCAATAGTTCGTTAAACAGTATGAAGTATTTGTGCAACATTTATCGCTAACTAAAATCGATAGCACCATCTGTGAATTGATAAATAGCTGTCTATGTAGAATTCATTCCTATATTGATTGGTTGAATCTTCCCATTGATGGTTAGGATTGAAATTGGTCAGTTTCTTAATGGCTTATGTGCATTCTGTGTGGATTGCCTCGACATCACCTTAGGTCACAAGCGTTATAAGAGATTAATCAAGTGCAGTTCTAAACATCAATCGGAAGATTCAAACAAACAATACAAAAACAAGTTAAAACTCCACCCCATTTCACAAGTTAATCGCTATCTGAACTCAGTAACTAAGTAGATAACGCGATGACGTTTGAAGCAAATGGTGTTGGGTTTCAGTCTTAGATGAACATCAACTCTGTGATACAGGTACATCTAGTTGATGAGTCTTAAATAGGACGAAACATCCGTTCTGGATTCCATTGCTAGCCACTTTCAATCTTTGTTTATAATGTCTATGTAATAGTATACTTATTGGTTGTGATGTACATGGTTAAACTGAATTTTATGCAACAGAATTTTATTTAAAACCTATTTCGAATATTTTAATCTCCAAGATAGTAGTAGTAGTAGATAACGGAGGTTTCAGGTTGGAAAAATAGTCTAAAATTGTATTCATTTTAAAGTAATTCTTTAGAGAACTGTCGAATTTAAAGTTTAGATTCAGTGACAATTAATATTGATTTTCAATAAAATCTACTATAAAGTGTTTTCGATACAGCATAAATTTCAGATGTTTTGTATCAATACTTAGACTGCAGGTATAATTTACATGAGAATGAACATTATTTTGCTTTGTTCTCAAAGCCTGAAAAGCACTTCAGCAAACACACTTTGTTGATGGAGTGATTGATCATTGAATAGTGAGTGACCAATGAATTTAAATAAATCAGTACTACAGGAGATCAGCCACTGGTTGAATAGCTCAGTCATTATGAGAGTGTGTTATGTGATGTGCGTCTAAGTTCCACGAGGAGCATTAGTTCCATCAGTATTTGAGGTAAGCCTTGATGATAAGTGACAATTGGTAAGAAACCTGGGTTCAATGCTTACTGCTGAATAGCTCCAATGAATGAAAAACTTATTGAAAATTATGAGAAGGACACAGTGAACATTGAAGAAGTTCCAGATAACCGCAGTCTAATAGTACTAATCACATTATTCAATATCCCATAAAAAATTACAATGGAGAATTCTCAGAACACGTACTCAATGCTGCGAGAAATTCCCATTCAGTATCTAGTTTATTTGTTGAATTACCAAGTCTATTGGGCTTAATGTATGCATATTTCAATGCAATTGCTTGTTGTTTCTCCAAGAATTATGTCAGGGAAGTAACTATGCAAGCCATCGTGATAGTTTCACTTCAATTCAACAATAATTTACTTCATGATAGGTTGTAAACTTTTACAAGTGCTTTCATTTAAGTCATGAATCGATTTAAGTTAGAACATCATTAACAGCCTGGAAGCACTGAATAGCCTTTTCGCCCTAGTATGTATGCACGCACGGTCCCGCAAACGGGATCGAAGGTCCTGGATTATTTTCCAGTGTGAAAGATTGTGGATTTGCACAGGCGAGGAGTTCCATACTAGGACGAAACGGCCACCCAATGCTTCCAGGTTTTCAATGGTATTCTAACTTAGATCGGTTCATAATTTCAATAAAATCCACCAATCTCCACAACCCCATACTAAAAATTGTATACATTTGTTTTTTTTTCTTAATTACTCTCATCTACGAGTTATTTTTCCTGATATGGTATTTTACTGAACAGCATCTGAAATCCAAATCAATTTGTGAATTATAATAATTTCAATAGTTGAAACCAAGCAAGCACTGGATGGCTGTTTCGTCCTAGTATGGGACTCCTCAGCAGCGTGCATCCACGACCCCGCCCCCGGCGAGACCCGAACCCAGGACCTATCAGTCTCGTGCGTGAGCGCTTAACCATTAAACCACTGAGCCGACCTCCAACGGTGTTAATGTCTAACTTCAACCAATTTAATCATAATAACTCTGTAAAATTACTCAAGCAATTACTGAATTTCATCTAATGGTTTATTGGATTACCACACTAATTCCCTTAAACTGATGTTCAGTATTTAGGACTGAGAAAAGCATCTTTACCCTACTTCTATATAATTTTAAAACCAAACTTTATTAATTTAATATGCAAATAAATTATTGTAACATTTAGTTACTACCGCTTTACAGTAATACAATGTGAAAAAACAAAAAAAATTTGATACACACATAACACATCAATGCGTAGTTTATGGTCTTGTATAGCACAAAACATGTCTGTATATCACTCTCTATGACAAGGTTAATATTATTAACGAATGTTCTAACGCAATTTGTAGGTCACCATTGATCGATCGATAAGAAGACGTCCATGTTATTTTTTTTAAAAATTGGAATCAATTATTCTACTTACATTTCTAAGATTTCGACGCATCAAATTCTCGCTCACTGATCTTAGGATTACTCGTATACATTCCACAGTAAAATTGTTTTGTACATTCCTATCAAATCTGTGATTAAACCATTAATTGTTGGTACATAATATTCATCTATTTATTTATTTATTTAGTCCATTAGCGAAAAAAAAGAAGGATATTTATCATAACAAACATTCAACTTTGAAAGTTTATCTTGCATTGTGTACACATGTTCGTCAGACCGCCTACAGTTCGAACAACCAGAAATCCCCGTAGACGACCCCCACATATACTTGGTTTGAACGAAGTGAATCGTCCACTGTTACGACAAGTGATCAGAAGTCGTCGATCGAATCCAGTCCGTGAAGCATATGTATTAGAAATAAGAGAAGGTCCTGTGGTTAATAACAACTCAAATGCAGCTACTACAAGGATGATACCCCAGCCATGGGTTACTGTGCGCGACTATTTTAAGGGAAATGACTTTGTTAGTCTTCCTGTTTCTATTTGCAACACATTATTGAAACACCTTATGACATGTGCCATAGTTGATGATGACCACCGAGTAGAAAGCTCTGAAGATAGTGAAATTGAGTGTACTTCTTCACCTTCCCCCAAAGTTGGAGAAGAGGCAAGTTTAACTGAAACATCCGGTGAAACAGCATCACAGGTTGAAGGGGGAGCATCTGAAGGTACGAAAGTCATCAAGAAAGTATCTTCACGTGTCAAACCTCATACCTTCCAGCTTAGTTTATTAAAACCTATAAGAATAGTGTGTGAAGCAACAGGATGTACACTGGAGGTTACGGCACGTAATCCTTTGCCAAAACACACATCTACTAGTTCAGAAGAACCAACACAAACAGTCCAACCTGATCCTGATAAGCGATGGCTTATTTCAGCTCCACTAGAAGTTCGTAAAAGTAATTCTTCAGGTGGTGAGCATACCTTGGATGGCAGTGGAATCGGTAGTACCACTAATGGAAGTGGTCGACGTCAGTACTCCTGGGAAACACGTGGCACCTTGGAACTACATACGAGTCTGATGCCCAAGCTATTAACATTTCTTGGTAAGTTATATTTATCCTTTAGCAATCCGAATCTAAGATTTGATAGTGATTTTAGCTGGGAGGGACCCATAGGTTTATGAAGTAATAGCAATCGGTCACGCGTTTTATTGATTCTTCTTTTTTGTCCAACCGTTTTATTATATATATCTAATAACACAGGGGAACAATATTTTTTCAGTTAGATCTAGAGTCTTTACCTTAATATAGAGCAGCATTTATATTTATTAATGGGAACATGAAGTTATTCAATGCCACACAGACAATATATAGTTCTATTATCACGCCTGATCGATAGTAGTCATGTAGTAGATAGATTGATCAAGTGTATATAAAACAGTCATGTGAGTCGTTGTGGGGGTTCGGTCTCATCTCTTACACATACCGGAAGCCATAAAAATTTGATCCAACTACCCTAGTTTGTGTTCAGACGGATTTTGTAACAGTATCTGTTCGTTGACCTGGTCATTAATTTAATAACTTTATTTTCCTACGTTTTGACCTACTTCGTGTGTTGAAGTATCTATCCAAGTTGTTACTTTTCTCTCATCACAATGAGTATATTTCACTTTACGATTAACTTGTAACTTATTATATTTAGTGGTTCAATGTGTTTCATTTTTATCATTGACTCACAAACTGTTTTAATCGGTTTACTTTCTCGTATATGGTTATAAATATTACTGTCACTAGTGTAAAGCCAAAAATTCTAATTGAAAGCAACGTTATCGTGTATTATTTCTGGTTAGCGTTTTTTAGCGAGTTAGTTTTCTACGGGATGGGGTCGCTAACCCCATGCCCAACCCTCCTCCTTTATCCGGGCTTGGGACCGGCAGTAACCCCCGGAGGGACTGCAGGCGGAGTTATATCGTGTATTAGCGTGGTACTTATTCATACAATGGGAATTTTAGTATTATATAGAATATCTAGATGAGTTAAATTTTTATTTTTACACCTCTAACGTTTAGTATCTCAGAGATGTAAGAACTCCATGGTAGTATTTTCACCACTGTTGAGCTTAATCATGATTTCCCCATCAATTTCCAGGGACTAAATCATCTTGGACCTATTGAAATGTAGGTTGAGTGATAATATCATTAGTTGGCATACAACTTGTATAATTTATAGCGGAATATTTTTTTTCAACGGTTTTAAACGTCTGTCCATACTAGATGTGGAACCACAGACCTTCAAGATAATAGAACTAGATTAGTAACCTATAAGTGAGTATCTCACAATCAATCACAAAGCGTAAGTGTATTCATTCTTAATCACACCATCTAATCAATGTACTGTGGTTTTTTACAAAATCCAGTGTTAATGAGAATCGTTTTGTGTACGATAGGTTTACTTCAACTTATCTCTTTTCAAATTGGATGTTGGTTTTTATTGAAAACAGAATAGTAGATTATTGATTTTGAAATCTCTCAACACTACGTGTAATCCACTAATAGAGATTTTTTTTATATGAACACTGAAAGTTTTAGTGGTGGGTTGTTTAAAATTCAATTTGACTTAAGTTTTCGTCCACTGTATAAAATGTTCATCATTAATCGTTTGTCCATTATTTTCAGTCATTGTAAATCGACTACATTTGCAATTGCCCTCCGAATCAGGCTTTAAGTTAAATCTTTTATTTATTATGTAGCCAAATGATCTTGTAACGAGCCTATAATCTAAATGTTTGATCATTGTGAATTTTCAAACATTACAATAGTAGTATTTTACCATTCTTTTTAATCTGCTGATACATTTATGTGAAAACAAAGTTTATGCTTTCATTTAAGATTTGGACTCATTACTTTATTATTCTGTAGAGGTATCGTGATTTGATGTATTCTTATCAGTATAATACTCATACATCAGTCTGAAAAGTGTATTCTTTTAGTTTAGATATGGAGACTAGAGATAATAAAATACCAGGTAATGTTGCACAAGGGTATGGACTAATCACAAAGAAAATCATATTTTTGTATTCGATTCTTTCTGACAAATAGGTTTACTTGGTCACCACTCTATTGTAAATAGATTTATTCTTAAGCCAGATGCCATTGATTTTGATTTTATCCCAGAATCACTGAATATTTTGAATTCCAATTATCGAAATGTGACCACCATTTCCATACTTCAGTGTACAAAAATTTGAAGTATACAATTTATTAATTTAACTCATGAATCTAACATCTCACTAGGTACAAGAAGCATGAATTCAAGTTACAACATACACTTAATAATTCTAAGGTCAAAATGTTTATTTCCTTCTAAAGTAGTAATACATGCATCGAATTATTGAGTGAAGTCTGAAAAAATAATCCGATAAAATTTTTTTTATTTGAAACTAATACCTTTATGTGTCAGGTCATACAACAACAACAACAAATAGCGTTAATGGAGAACTTTGAAATAGAAATTCGAACAAGATTAATATGATTCAAGTTCATTGGCACTAAATAAATAATGATGCATTGCACGTTTATTGATAATCAGCTTCAGGATAACATGATTTATAGTATTTATTACATAGTTATGAAACGATACTTCCACTCTATATTAGGTTTATTCATTCAATGATTGCCAGTAACTTTTATATCTGATATATGTTACTCATCGAACCAATTATCTTTGTAATACCGTTGGAATATTTACACTAAATATCCACTAAGAACTTCAAATTTAACTAACAATAGCGTTTTTACTAGTTGGTTATTAAATCTCAGCTTTACGAATTCAGAGTTCGATAACATAGTAAATCTATCTCATACTAAATTTTAAGTTCCTTAACATTTGAAACTCAGCTTTAACTGCACATCGAATTTAGGGTGGACTTTCATCAATGAAATCTATTGAGTTCTTCAGGTTTAAAATTCTGTATGAAGAACTTATAACGAATTTATATGAATATTAGAGAAGTAAACTTTTGTCAACATTATGATACGTTATAGGTATTGTTTGAAATAAATTAAATATCTTAGAATTGTATTAGGTTTAGTCAATTTTCATAGATATAATTTGTGTGCAGCTTGAATCAGAGGTGTTCAATTGGGCGTTGGTTACCATTTTTGAATGCTTCCATCACCAATTAAATTATGCTTAAATTGTTCTATTAGTGTGCGGTCTAATTATAATTATTTAGTCACCTTTTTTCTAATCCATACGGTAAAATGTTTCAGGGTTCAGTAATAGGCTATGGTTTCGGTTACTTTACATTTATTATTTAATTAAGTGAGCTATAAATGGTGCTTTTACATGTGGGGGATCTTAATCATTTTAATTCAATTGTTCATACTGTCATCATCAGTGATTTTCTATGATCCATTCAATGACAGACGCTTCCTATTGAAGTATTCTAAATATAAGTGTTGATGATGGACATGTTTTATTCAAGTCTGATGAATTAGTTTTGGAGGTCATTTTCATTGAAACTTCACAAGATGATTTTTTCTGATTGCTTATGTCACTTTACATTTTGAAACACCGGTTATTAGGTGGACTTGTTCTATTGATTTTTTGCTTCGAGTGGAGTACCCTCCTTAAGTAAATTAGAATTGTAGATTTATTTGAAATCATTGTGCTAGACATTTCGATGTTGAAAACGTGTCTAAACTTGTAGGTATCATTACCAAGGTTTGACTTGATAATTTCGAATAAATTGAGCATTGGATAGATTATTATAAATAAATAATAAATTTTTTAATATCCCAATGAGTAGAAAAATCAGATTTTCGAACGTTTCGTGACTTAGTGTAAGCCACTTCTTCAGAGAATAAATAAGTAACCAAATCAAAATTAATCCAAGTTTAAAAAGTACAAACGGAACAACAAGAATATTTTGTTCCGTTTGTACTTTTTAAACTTGGATTAATTTTGATTTGGTTATTTATTTATTCTCTGAAGAAGTGGCTTACACTAAGTCACGAAACGTTCGAAAATCTGATTTTTCTACTCATTGGGATATTACAAATACATTATTCATTTATGTCTAAACTTGGTTATTTGATTTATCTAATATGAATGTAGAAATATTACTCAACTGCAGTAATTCAAATAGTGATTCGAAAGCTTTTTATCAAAGAAATAATTTTAAATCTGTACTCTATTTATGTTCCGTTTCACGTTGCTTTGTTAATGATTTAAGTTTTTTTTATACCCGATATATAGATGTAATCGGTTTAATTTAAATCTAGAAATCACTTGTAATTGATCTTTGAGCTATTTTTACTATTTTACTTTGCAGCCGATGTTGCGACACGTTATCGAGCAATTGATTTAATTCCAAAAGTTCAATCACTATACAGTATATCGGGTGAAAGAAGGTTTTTGTTTAATTTAAAAGATACTCGATGGGGAAAACGAATTCACATTTCTCAAGTTACAGACCTACATCGTAATGTTATCGGCATTCCGTTAGAGGATTTGGTTAGCTTTCGCTCAAGGTTAGATACGGTGATAAAAAGTTTAGGATTGGAAGATCAATATGCCATACGCTCATCTATCCACAGAAACAGTGAAAATAGATCAACACATAAGCAACAACATGTATCAGTTTCATCTCAAGATACTTCTAATTTGCCAGGTGAATCCGTAGGTGGAGTGAATAGTACAGAAATAGACGAGGAGAACAATCGTATCGACACTAGCAATACACAAAATCGTACACATGGACGTGAAAATCGTCCTTTACGTACAGGGGTATTCGCACTAAACAATAAGGAAAGCAGAAGTGCGGGGGCATATGATAGTGAATCTGGACAGCGTCGTAACCGTGGTAACAGGTTCGGAAGACGTAGTAATTGGACGAATGGAGGACATGGAAATCCAGTGAAACGAAGAGATAAGAATCAATTATCTTCTAATCAAGATTTAAAAACATCTGATGAAATTGAACACAATGAAGTAAACAGAAATTCTAACCTTCAGAATTCACTCGAACCTGCTGTTGAACCGACTCGAATAACGCCTGCAGCTGAGGCCAGTGCATAAGTAAAATATTTTGACTACATAGTTATAATGAGTATTCTGGATATGTTTACACTTATCAGTCTACATGCTATTTGTTTTCTCTGTGCATTAGACAATTTTATAATTATTGTTTTATGTTTGTATTATCTAAAAACAAAACAACAGATGAACTCAATTATTTGTTTTTAAACTTTGAAGTATTTCAAGTTGTATAATTGAACCTCTGAACGAATGTTTTTCATTTTTTCGGGTTAAACTCATATATTGAGAGTTAATAAAACCAATCAAATTGTTCATTCATTAAAAATATCATTATATATATATTCTCCCCGTGTTTCATAAATTTGCCTGTTTTTTGAGAGAGAAAAAAGATACATACTACTATTCAACTAAGCATTTTTCTGACTGGTCAGTCTTTTATTATTTTAACTATTCCTCATTCCGAAAACTATCATCGTTGTTTGAAGAACGTGAACATTCTTGAAAACCTTGAAAGTAAGCCTTCAAAGTAATCACTCAGTTTTTTTTACTAGTCACTCTATAGTTATTTAATCTCCGATACAAATTTAACTCTGTTGATCAATTTCTGAATGGGTTCATCGGGTTTTAGATAGTTGAAGGGAATTACCAGGTAGTTCCGAATGATCGAGTAATTCATGTTTAAACCCTCTGTAAGCTATTGATTTTCCTAGTTTTACAGTCATTTCGAGATAACTAATGACAACTTCTGGTATGAAACAAATCTATTGCTTTTTGTTAGTAGCATGTATCCAATTTTGAGGTATTTCATATTACGGCTTTTCATTCGATATAAAGCCTAATAGTCAGGCAATATGAAATCAATCGTACATGGGTAATTTATTATCTCACTCTTTTTTTTTGATATAATAAATGATAATTTAATGAAACTCAACCCCCAAATCATAAGTAATAATACCGTATTGAATTTTTAGCTGCAAAAAGATAGTGTGGCTTAATGATTCTACTTCAACATAATAATAATAACAATTATTATTATTATTATTATTATTACTATTATTATTATTATTATTATTATTATTATTATTATTATTATTATTATTATTATTATTAATGGCTTTATTCAATATTATATTTTGGTACAATATAGAATTCTCAGCACAGGGTATTTCAACAAGTTATTTACGCAAAAAAGACAGTAACAAACACAAAAAAAGGTTTAAGAAAAACAACCGAAAAACTGTACAACTTTTAAGATTAAAGACATGTTAAGAATGCAGGTTATTGACTAGGTTAACTCTAGCAACCTGTTCGTCACAGAGTATATTTGCTAGGTAAGGTATTATAGAACTTTTATACTTTTCCTTGCGTGCAAGGATTTTAATGTAATTACGTCTCGTTCTACCAGAAGATATACAAGGAGAAAGATAAGAGTGAAGGGGATGGTTAGTATCTGATAAAATAACACCTGCCGAGAGTTTGCATGACAATAGATGTCTATCCACAACCATATTAATTATGACCTCGAAAGATTCACCACACATCTTGCTAACTGCCTTCAGCACTCTCAGTAATACAGCAAAGTCTTTTCTCAAAAGCCTGGGAAAAAATAATGGAGAACATTAAAGAATAATAGGTAATATGCAAGAATTGACAAATTGTAAGAGTAAATGACGAGTAATCTCAAAAGCATGCAATCTCTTTATGTAGTAAGTCAGACGGAAAACCTTCTTCGATAACAATAAAACGTAGGAAGACCAAGAGAGACCAGAGGAAAAGTTGACACCAAGATAAAAATGTCAGTAGACTACTTTAACTTCAGGAAAAAAGTCGATTATGGCGAACATGACACTAGTGACAAAATATATCTTACAAAAATTTTGTTTTATAAAATGAATAATTTAATGAAGATAGTTGTTTCTTTTTACTAAAACTACAAAATTGTATTTGTATCTATTTTATAATAAAATGATTAAGGTTTTAGTCGGTGAAACATGTTTAATCATTATAAATTTATCTATTCAAGTAATAATGTGTTATTATCACTGTTGTCTTGGTTACAAATATTCTAGGTTTCGGTATATATATATATATATATATATATATATATATATATATATATCACCAGTATGTTATTTTAATCAATATCTTGCATACATATTTGTATTATTCATGTAGAGAATGAAATAAAATTTTAAAAAATCATGCAATTCACAGTGAATAATAGTCATCTTATTGAAGTACACAGTGTGTGTGTGTGTGTAACCATTTCAAATTAGAAAAAAAAACATGGATGTATCTGTACTCATTGTTCCAATTAGAGAGAGTTATAACAAAATAAAACGATCAATATATGTAGGTCATAGAGTATTATAAATAAATCTTGATATTATAAAGTAGTATAAAATATGTATATACATATTTCCGATCACATGACAACAGACCTGAAATCTGGTAACTTGTCTTTATGGTGTCCTATGAAAAAGTTAAAGTTTCTCAGTCCTGAATATATGAGTATGATTATCACTGAGTATTTTATATTAATTATCCAAAGCTATCTACATATGTCGTTTGTGAGCACGTCACTGTAGCACATCCGAAATTACCGGATGAAAAAGCCAAATAAAGTGGAAGTTAGAGCTTCGAATTAAATTCTCAGTGGAAATTATGTACTTATATCCAGTGTTTATCCACTAAATGGTGGGACAAAAAACACTAGGTTTTGTACACATGTTGAACACTAAGAGGTGGATACATTACAAATTCACGGGGATGGACCCTATTCAAATTTGTAATTCGAAAAACTCCAAAACATATATCAATATTACAACGGTTGTTTGTTAATTTGAAGAAGGAATTTCACTAAATTTTCAGCGCTTAAAACTGGAAATAATTTCAACAGCAGGATGATCCAAGCTTCTTCAAGGATAGTATGATATTAAGACATGAAATTACTGGGTATGGTTATTTTTACTACTGTTGTCAGCGTCTTCGAAAGTGAAGGGTCAAAGTATTATATATATATATATCAATTATGTACCAGGTAATCCAGTTATAGAGAGTTACCCAAATTGAGAACAGGTGGGTATTCTAGCCGATTAATGGCATTCTTTGGATTAACCTATGGAACGTATATATCAATTAATCACCTAAAGATTACATAATCGACATAGAACTAATGTTTACTATCCACACACATGTAGATAGGCTCAACATAAACCAGATGTGCTAACTTGAAGAGAATCTGTGGAAATAACGCTTACGCATTCTCAAAATCCTTAGTCCCAGATAAGGAGTGTCTACTGAATTTAAACTTATTCTAGATATCGAGAAAGCTGTCCTAAGGATTCGTGTTATGCAGTGTTGATGTTTTCATGCCTTGCAACTCCAATTAACTCAAAATTATTTTATGGCATATCATAGGTGTTCAAATCAACATGATGTTTCTTCAAGTTGTCGACACCCCAGGTGCTTGCACTTGACTGGTCAGGTGCTTCCAAAAGCAACCATGAACAGTTGCTGTTTTAAAATGTGATTGATAAATACTGACTTAAGACACACAGACATACAGGATAATGTCATATAAAATAGTCATATAATGATAACGTAGAAGTGATACACAGAAATCGTAGAACCGAGATATCATACATTTATTTTTATTTAAGATGAAGTTTGAGAAACAAACAAGGACATTGCAAATACCCTCAGAAATGATGTGTCGTAAATATGCATATCAATTCATAATACCAATGAAGTTAGAATTTTGCATTCCCCCGTAGGAAACTAACTGTATATAAAACAGTAATTCATGTTGATCTGAAATATTAAACAAGGGACTATTAGCTATTGAATTATGTTTAAAAATCCCCATTATATTAAAAAAATAGTTATATGAATGAGGAGTGTTATTTTCAGTGCACTCTTGTTATCAGTGAAATTTTGTGATTAAAAGCAATAACCAATTTCGTTGTAAATATCTAGATTTCGCCCCATTTGGCACTCGTCATCAGTTGATATTCCTTATGTAATTTAGATTTTATGCACATCAGCTTCAAACACACATGATATTAGTCACTGATCTGTGATCAATCAATTGTAAAAGCCTCAGTCCTACAAGAGGTCAGACGCAGCCCTGATAGCTCTGTGGTAATATTTTGGACTGTGAAACTGGATTATTTGTGTTTCAATAGCAAACGGAGCATCAGTTCCCACGAGATTGCAGGTACGGCTTGCTAACAACAATCACGACGTCTAGGTCCAGGTTACCCTGACATCTACTTCCAACCACTTTGTAAACAAGGGACCATGACTGAATTACCTATTGAGTGATAATAGTTAGCCACAGAAGAAAATATAAAATAAAAAATATTTCTATCCCTTGTGACAATTGCACTAGCTTGGTAAATATTATATTTTCCAATATGATCCGTTGACACTAGCGAAGTGAATTGACGCAAGCGATATAGGTATTTTAGTTCGTAAATAAATAAATACTAATTGAACAGTGAATGCATAAACATAGTTACAGATACAATGAGTTCGTGCGACTACTACTGTTAAGACAGGGTAGAATGATCGGAAATGTGAAACTTTTACTACGTAAATTATCTAATAGTTGGTTTATGAGATTTTTATATTTTGACTATAGACATCTAATTGATCTATTAGCTGTTCTCATATATTTTTCTTATTATAATTACTGTGAATTGATTGTTAAATCTGTCATTCAGATTTGTATCATAACTGTCCTGATTTTGTACATGTGGTGTTTTTTTTACTGATGATGAGTCATTTAGATAATCATATAACTTTCAAGTTTCCTTTGTACTGAACAACTAACATGGTTTAAACAGGAACTTATTTAAGGGTATGAAATTTACTTAGAAATCTCCCTGTCCCCCCTACCATTAACTGGTACTCCTTTTCCATCAATCAAAAGCCGGTCAATCAAACACCTATTATATAATTTATAAAAGTAGTGAGTTTGGTTTGGCGATATCAGACCTAGTCAGCTTTGTCTATTCCAAATAGTGAAACTGATATGATTTCCAGAGAAATGTTCGTTTTTGTAGGATTTTCGACGGAAGCAGAACTCCTAAGATAACTGAGAGCTTATAAGAATGCGACTTTCTGCCATTTGATTACACGAGACAGTCATTAAAATTCGAATGATTCTTATATAAAATGTGTCTGTAAAAGGGGTATACTCAACGACCAACATAAGGGTTTGTTTCGAAATAAACTCTTTATCCATAGGTCTAGACAGCCTGTTGGTAATGGTTGCTAATCCTGCATATTTGTTCTGCTGATAGCCTTTTATGGAGTATCAAGATGGTCAGCGAGTCATGATGACGAGTTTCTGCTTATCATTTATGAGAAAGACCCTAGATTTCGTCATTTGACAACCG